CGCCGCGAACGCTGCACACCCCAGTTCGATTCCCGCTCACGACCTGTTGTCGCAGAGCAGCAGCAGCTACGAAGGCCGGCACTGCACACGATGTTTAGACACCGCTGCACCAGGTACTCATTTGAGGCCGAGTCGACCTAGGGGAGGCCCAGGACCCGTTGAGATATTCGTCACCGGTGTTGGCCGTGAGCGGGAATCGAACTCGGGTAGCGTTGCGCGCGAACCGCTGCACCACCGCTCCCACCAAAAGGCCAGACAAAGATCCCCCGTGTAGCCTCACAGGCCGTTGGGGCAAGTGCTGTGAGCGAGTAGCAGCAACTATGAAGGCCGGCACGGCACACGAAGGGGTGGGTGGCCACCACCACCACCCACGGTGGTTGTTGCTGTTGACACGGAGGAGTGGAGATGGTGGTTGTGCTTGGTTGGTTCGCCACGGTGGCTAGATGTTAACTACCTCGCCTGGTATACAGGTCGTAGATTTGATCCAGACCCTAACGCCTGCTGTATATTTGGAGTTTGCGTCTCTCTCTCTCATCATCACGGTGGCTGAGATGTTAACTACCTCGCCTGGTACGCAGGAAGTCGTGGGTTCGATCACGACCCTGACGCCTGCTGCTGTATATTTGAAGTTTACGTGTCTCTCTTATCATCACGGTGGCTGAGATGTTAACTACCTCGCCTGGTACGCAGGAAGTCGTGGGTTCGATCACGACCCTGACGCCTGCTGCTGCATATTTGAAGTTTACGTGTCTCTCATCATCATGGTGGATGAGATGTTAACTACCTCGCCTGGTCTACAGGAGGTCGTGGGTTCAATCCTAACCCTGACACCTGCTGCTGTATATTTGGAGTTTGTGTCTCTCTCTCATCATCACGGTGGCTAGGAGATGTTAACTACCTCGCTTGGTCTACAGGAGGTCGTGGGTTCGATCACGACCCTGACGCCTGCTGCTGCTGCTGTATATTTGGAGTTTGCGTGTCTCTCTCTCTCCCCGTGGTCGCGTGGATTTTTCTCCGGGTCCTCCGGTTTCCCCTCCACATTTAGAATCAACGCCACGCGTTTTAAAGAGTTATTTAGCTGCGAGAAATATCCACACGACGACGATAAGCGTCACTTCACTTGCTTGGGCTGATCATTTGTAATCGTCAGATCGCGTCTGAAACATATCCCCACATAGCTCAGTGGGACTATTACCTGGTAAAAATATATATCATTCATCTCATATTCTTTGGGTCTTTCGGTAAAGTGACGTAGATAGGTAAAAAATTAATACAAAAATAAACAAAAAACCACGACGTTTCGATCACAACACAAGCTTTACCGAAAGACCCAAAGAATATGAATTCCTGCAGTCACGAAAGCTTTAAGCCAAGATTGTATCTTGTTTGTGTAACACCGTCACCCACGGAGGAGCAGCAACATCATCATGATCATCATCATCCGATGGAGATTTCAATTCACGATCTCGTCCCTGAAATTCTCGCTCCGCTCTCCCCGAGTCAACAATCACGGCGCGTTCACAACAGCATCGTCGTGACCCATGAGATTTTATTACACTTTTATATATTTAAAAAAAATCAAAGACAGATTCACCCCCACCCCACGCGTGAAGCCTGCCCACACTGTTAGCGAGCACCCCATGAAGGCCGGCACGGCACACGAAGGGGGGGGGGGGGGTGGGTGGCCAGCGCCACGCCCGGCCGCCTTTGTCTCCCCCAGTGGCGATGTTCACGAGACACCTCGCCGGGTGCTCATTTTGAGGCCGAGTCGACCGTGGAAGAGGAGGGGGGCCCAGGAACCGGTTCGGAAAATCGTCACCGGTGGGTGGTGGTGGTGGCCGTGATCGGGAATCGAACTCTGGGCCGCCGGTTTTCGTGTCGCAGCGTAGCGCTAACCGGCCCGCCACCGCTCCCCCACAAACACAACACACACACAGCGAGAGCCACAATTTGCGCTGGCTAGCACGTCAATTTAAAACTCGAGGTCAAGCCCCACCCTCCCGCAACCCGCTAGGAACAGTTACGCGCGCAGTTGTGGATTTGTGGTCGTCGTTACAGCCGTGGTGGTGGGCGAGTGAGTGCAGGAGGAGCGGTGGCGCAGTGGTTAGCACGCTCGTGCTGACCACTGGATCCGAACGGGCCAAATCCCGCTCACGGCCAAACACCACCAGTGACGATCATCTGAACCGGTTCTGGGCCTCCCCTAGATCGGCTCAGCCTCAAGTGAGTACCTGGTGCGATGTGTAAGCCCATCCACCCTCTCTCGTATGCCGTGCCGGCCTGCATAGATGCTAGTCGCTAACAGCACTTGCCCCCAAAGTATGCTGAAGGCTATCCGGAGTACTGTTGTCTGTGTGTTGTGTGGTGTGTGTTGGCTATGATTGTGCATGCAGTAGTTATAATCGTTGCGCATGTTACGCAGCTGTGGTTGTGTGCACGGTTGCGTTAGCATGCGACCGATCAGGGAAGATTGCCGAAACTTGCATGCGTCAGTGACAAGCAACCGACCGGCTGCAGACCTCGCCACGCCAACCATTCAGTTGCGCGCAAAATCCTCGAGTTGATCGCAAACGAGTTGCGTGCAACTCGGGCTGTGTGCACATTGATTATCTGTAACTCGAGTTGCGTGCATATCAATTACGCTACTCGAGTTGCAGGCAATCAATGTGCACGCAAACCCGAGTTGCACGCAAATCCGAGTTGTTGCACGCAAATCCCGAGTTGCAGAGGCGTCCGGACACGTCTGTTGCATGCAACCGATGGGGGCTCCAGGTGATGGTTTCCGGCTGGAATGATAGAATATTAAGAGGGAATAACCAACCCCCCCCTGCCACCCCACCCCCCAATGTTGACTTAAAATTCAAATTCCCAGCACAATTGATCCCTGTCTTGTACACACCACGCGACCGCCAAGGAATCAGCCGGCCGAGAGAGAGAGAATTATAATGGCACCGGAAGATTGGCACCCAAAATACGTACACGTGTCAAACATATATTGATTGTCCGTGTGTGTGTTTGTGTATACACATATATAGACAAAGATCCCCCCCGTATAGCCTCAACAGACTATTGGGGCAAGCGCTGTTAGCGAGCACCTATGAAGGCCGGCACGGCACACGAAGGGGGTGGGTGACCAACACCACGCCCGGCCGCCTTTGTCTCCCCAGTGGCGATGTTTACTACACACATGCACCGGGTACTCATTGGAGGCCGAGTCGACCTAGGGGAAGGCTCAGGACCGGTTCGGATAATCGTCACACCGGTGTTGGCCGTGAGCGGGAATCGAACTCGGGCGTGCGGGTTCGTGGCGTGGCGCGACAACCCGCTCCCCACGTAAATCTGCAGTTAAAAAAAACGAATCCGTACGTCCCCCTTTTTTAAAACAAGTGGAAAATGTGCACCAAAAGTTTACGTCTTAACAAAGCACAAAAATTAACGTGTTGTGTAACCGTAAAATACGCAGCGAAGATGGAGCACATTTAAAAAATATATATATAAAATCACCGGGGGGGAGGGGCCTAGGGCAAACACCCCCACCCCCCCCCGGGGAGAGACAACGTTAACACAATTAAGAGAGCGGCTAGTGACGTACTCGCCAGGGAGTAACGCCGACGACACCCAGCGTCGTCAGCCCATTCGGCCAGAATTCTGGGGAATCCCTCCCCCCTCCTGTTGCGGCCTTAGAGGACGGTTGAAGGCGATGCCACCGCCGAGGGCTTATCGACAACAAAGACCACCACGCTGTGGCAACGTACACACCGGGTGCGCTTGCCGGTCCAGACGTCTTGCGACCTCCCACAATTAAACTCACCGCCATGATTCGCTTTTCCTTCGGGCAAAAATAAAAATAAAACAAATCTCGTTCGCGGTCGATCTTCGCCGCGATCCTGACCCCACCTCCCCCCACCCCCCGCCCCTACGGCCACGAAACCCGGGGCCTGAGACGGAGAGGCCGCGCGAACAAGAGATGGGCTTCGCGCGCAGGGCGGCAGGGCGCTCTCTCTCTCTGTCTCTCTCTCTCTCTCTCCCACTTCCTCACTCTCCGGCACGGGGTGAGGGAAATGCGGCGGCTATCCGCCAGAGACTCAACTCGGCGTGGAAGCAGAAGCCAGCCCCCAGCTACGGTGGATGAGGTTCATCTGCTGAGGGCGCCGGAAAGGAAGGCGCGCTCACCCCACGCGCTCACCCCACGCGCTCACCCCACGCGCTCACCCCACGCGCTCACCCCACGCGCTCACCCCACGCGCACACCCCACGCGCTCACCCCCCGCGCTCACCCCACGCGCTCACCCCACGCGCTCACCCCACGCGCTCACCCCACGCGCTCACCCCACACTCCCCCCCACACTCCCCCGGCGGGACTTCCTCCGGGCAAAGAGGACCCAGAAGCCGTCCGCGCTATCGTTGTGCCGGAAAGACGTCGGGGGGGCTGTGGCACCTGGGCCGAGGAGGGACTGGCCGGCGATCCCGGGAGCTCACGGTTGACGCCGCTGACGGAGGAGGAGGGGGGCCGGATCGGAAGGGGCCTCTCGGTGGAGTCGCTGCCCTCCGCGAGGCGATTCGGTTCGGGGGGAGAAGCGGGCCGATATTACTGATCGATCGTTCATTATCTACACTCTTTGGTTCTATTCGGTAAAGTCACGTAGGTAAAAAAAATAAAACAGCGAAAATCACGACGTTTCGGCCACAACACAAGTGGCCGAAACGTCGCGGATTTCTGTTGTTTTACTTTTTACCCACTACGTGACTTTACCGAATAGAACCAAAGAGTATGGATCCTTGCAGTCACGAAAGCTTCGAATCCAGAACGTTCACTATCTGTTTATCGCACACCCTCATTGGTCCGCAAAAAAAATATTAAGATAATGAAATGGGTGGGTGGGGCGGGGCGCGGGTCACAAGACATCTGGACCACGTTGCACACATCTGTCCGAGGAACCGATTGGGCCTGTGCCAGACACTACACCGCAAGCCAACTTCGTGGCCTCGTCTGAAACGGCGCTACGGAGCACGAGGACGCCAAAAGAGGCGAGCGGTATACTGTGGGGGCGGACCATCCAATTCTGCCTCCAACCTGACGAAGCCGGTTGCTGTACCCGTGGGGCGAAACGTCACGGCGTTCGAACCGTAAAACACACAGCCGGGCCGGGGGGTGCTCAGCCAGTAACCAAATTGCCACGCTTGTGTTAACGTGACAAACCTTTGCCGATTTGGCTGCGTGGTCGGGCGGGTGGTGGCGGGTTTGACAACGACACATTTAGATTCACGTGACCTAAACCAAAACATCACCCGCCAGCCACCCTCCGTTATGGATACTGGTCGCGAAAGCCAGCTACTTACTACGTGTTAAAATGGTACAAGGGGCAATGCAAGCGGCCAACGCATCTCAATATAGTTCGGGGGGGGGGGGGGGAAGGGGGTTAAGCGGTTACATAATAAACTTATCATCATCGTTAAGTCCTAAAAATGAAACATGCCGGGCGATAAAAATACAAAAAGAGAGAAAAAAAATCGACGGGGCTCGCGTACGCGCTTACAAAAACGGATTCCATGCCTCTTCGGCCCCAGCGTGATTTGAAGTTACTTTTCGTGATATATTTTTGTTGCTTTGCGGGTAGCGAGGCGTTTGGGGCATTAGCGGATTATAAACGGATTTCCCTCGCTAGCCGTGGAGTGAGAGGGTGAGGGGGCTTCGGGAGGTCGGGAAGGTCGGGAGCTGGAAGTTAAAGGTCGAACGATGGCTTGTGTCGGAAGTCGCCCTGCGGGGAGAAAATGATAAATGTCGTAATCATCATGAACGTTATCGTTCCCATCATCGTCGTTACTGTTATTATTATCATTAAGAACATTAACATTATCGTCATCATCGTTACATTCATCAGCATCGTCATTAATGTTATCATTATCATCGTCATTACTGTCATCATCGTTATCATCACTGTCACCGTTATCACAATAATTATTACAAGCAGTATAAACATTGATCATCAATGTCATTCGCATCTTCATCAGCTTCAACATCATCATCATCATCACGATCATCACAAACAAGACACAGCAAAAGCCGCCATTCGCCACTAATTGACGGTGACACCACCACGGCGCTTGTGCCAGGCTATGTGCACTTTAAGGTTACGTGAAGTGTCGAACGTCGCCTGCTGGCAAGAGGCCACGGGACAGACCCGGCTGGTGCCATGGGTTGACCGACTGAGATGACTGGCAGATGCCACCACTTGTGCCCCCGACCGCGCCAACCTGCTGGTGTTTTAGCTGCGTACGCTTTCGCGACCGACATTGCGAATTGTAAATGCTGTGGGTTTACACACTTCAACACACGGGTGTGTGCTCAAGTTGTAAATAATTGGCACGTTTTTGTTTACGTGACAAACCTTGCTAATTGGCTGCGTCGGGTGTCGGTGGGTTCACGACGCGTTTATATTTACACGCTATAACCCAAATAACGCCTTTGTTGTTACGGACACAGACACACAGACGCAGACACACAACCACATAGACACAACAACAACAACAACCGCCATTCGCCACAAAGCGGGGGTGACGTCACCACGGCGCTTTGTGCCAGGCCATGTGCACGTTAAGGCCACGTGAAGTGTCGAACGCCCGCTGGCAGGAGGTCACGGGGCAGACCCAGGCGCCACGGGTCGACCGACTGAGATGAATGGCCGATGCCAACACTGACACGCGTAGACACGGCGCCACACACAGACACACACACACACACAGTCACCCACAGGCATACAGCCACAGCCACGCAATCTCTCACCTCGTCCGCCACAGACAGGTACTCCATGGCTGCTGGAGGTTTCTGCACGGTGGTCTGCTTCCTGCGGCGTCGCAGACAGAGGGGGAAACGCGTCAGCCCACGATCGAGGGCCGTGCCACTCGTCCGCGCCAGCCGCGTTGGCGGTGCTCTGGCAATGCCCCCCCGGGGTCTCAAACTATGAAGCCACAAAAGGAGGCTGGCAGCTCTGGTGTAGGCCCAATCAAACTAAAGTATTAAACTATTTTTTTTATTTTACCAGGTAAGGCCGCACTGAGCTATGTGCAGCTTTTTTTCAGAAGCGACCTGGCCATCACAAATGATAGCCCAGCAAAGTGAGCTTATCATCATCATCATCATCACGTGGACATTTATAGTAGCAGCCATATACTCCAAACGTGTGACGTTGTATTCTAAATGGGGAGGGAAAAACTGAAGGCCCCGGACAAAAATCCACGCGACCACAGAGAGAGAGAGACCGGGATAGAACCCACGACCTCCTGTATACCAGGCGAGGTAGTTAACATCTCCTAGCCACCGTGATGATGATGAGAGAGACACGCAAACTCCAAATATACAGCAGCAGGCGTCAGGGTCGGGATTGAACCCACAACCTTCTGTATATCGGGCGAGGTAGTTAACATCTCTTAGCCACCGTGATTGATAAATGGGGAAGGACTAGAAGCTTGTTCAGATTCGATTAACGGTTGCGGAGACCGGTCGCATGTCCAGAGTTGCATGCAACCGAGTCGCCCGACCGATTGCTCCGCCGTGGACCCAGTTTTATAAAGGCCGAGTCGGAGGGCAGGTGGGAGGGGAGGGGGGGGTTTGGGGGGGTTGCGTCTTAATAATAAAGGACGCGTCGTTCACATGCTCTAGTAGGCGGCCACGTCTTGGCTGGCGTGGTGGAGGGCTCTCCGTTCTTGACGACACACATTCTGTCAGATCGGGGGGGCTAGCCCGGGCGGTCCCCCCCCGCCTCCTAAGGCTACGAAGGACTGAAACGCGGAAGAACGAGCGCGGGAGAAGACGAGCGTAGAGTACGTACCTGTTCTTGCCGACTGTACCATTGTGAAGCATCGGGGTGGGGGTGGGGAGAGACGGGACAAAACCAACAGGTTAGCATCGAACCCACAAAAGACAAAGATCCCCCCGTGTAGCCTTAACAGACTGTTGGGGCAAGTGCTGTTTGCGAGTAGCAGCACCTGTGAAGGCCGGAACGGCACACGAGGGGGGTGGGTGGCCAGCACCACGCCCGGCCGCCTTTGTCTCCCCTAGTGGCGATAATTACCACACACCGCTACACCAGTTACTCTTTTGAGGCCGAGTCGACCTAGGGAAGGCCCAGGACCGGTTCAGATAATCGTCACCGGGGGTGTTGGCCGTGAGCGGGAATCGAACTCGGGTCGCCAGGTTCGGAGCGCAGCGTAGCGCTAACCGCTGCACCACCGCTCGCACACAAACATCCCCCCCCCCCCCTCCGTGTAGCCTTCAACAGACCTTTGGGGGCAAGTGCTGTTAGAGAGTAGCGGCGCCCCAGTGGCGATGTTACCACACTCACACAGGAACTCGGGCCCTCTGCATGTTCCATTACCAAGGGGGTATAACCCGTTACCAAGGGGCGTGACCCGTTACCAGGGGCGTGACCTGTTACCCGAGGTCGTGACCCGTTACCAGGGGCGTGACCTGTTACCCGAGGGCGTGACCCGTTACTAGGGGGCGTGTACCATTACCAAGTGGGCGTGTGCCATTACCAAGCAGGGCGCGACCCATCGCCGAGGGGGCGTGATCTGTTACCTGAGGGCGTGTCACGTTGCCAGGGGGGCGTGTTCAGTTACCAAGGGGGCGTGACACATCACCGAGGGGGCGTCACCTGTTACCAGGCGACGTGTCCCATTGCCGGGGGGCGTGTTCCGTTACCAAGAGGCAGTCCCGTTACAAAGGGGGCGTGGCCCGTCACCGAGGGGGCGTGTCCTCTCACCGGGCAGGTGACCCTTGCGGTAGGCGAAGAAGAGGGCGATGGCAATGAGGCAGAGGATGAGCAGCGGGATGATGACCGCGGCCGCGATGGCTCCATGGTTCGTCTGGTCTGTCGGGGGGGGACAGGCGAGTGCAGCGGCGTCAGGAGAGTTCGCGCCGGCAACGTCGGGGGCTTGGCCCGAGTCTCGGGTCGAGCGAGTCCTTTGCAACCTGTGCGTGCGTGCTTGCGTGCGTACGCGTGCGTACACGTGTGTACACGTGTGTGTATGTGCGCGTTTGTGTGTGTCGAGGGCCTCAAAGTGCACCTGGCCTGGGCAGAGGCGCCGTGGTGATGTCACCGTCAATATGGCGAATGGCGGTGTATTGCTATGGTTAGGTCTGAGTGTGTGTGTGTAACCGTACGTGTGTATCTGTGTGTGTGTAACTGTACGTGTGTGAGTATACGTGTGTATGTATGTTTGTGTGTATGTATGTTTGTCTACATGTGTGTATGTCTGTCTACATGTGTGTATGTCTATGTCTGTGTGTATCTGTACGTGTATGTGTATCTGTACGTGTATGTGTATCTGTACGTGTGTATGAGGTGTGTATCTGTATGTGTCTCTACGTGTACGCCTGTACAGGGATATGCTTTTGTGTGTATGTGTATGTACGTGTGTGGCTGGGTCATGTAGCCCGCATGCCCAGTCACTGCATGCCCAAACAGCTTTTGTTCGGCCGGATCGACGGGGCTAAACGGGCGCAGCACGGGCTAGAGAAGAGATGGAGTGATGTGGTACAGAAGGACGTGGAGCTGAGTGGACTTGCCGATGACCGGTACCAGCGGTGTCAAGATCGGCCTGTGGAGGAGGCTCGTGAAGGACGCTACTGGGCAGTTGGAGGCAGTCGCCCTCCAATAACAACGGAGGGCGGAAGGAGCGACGCTCACAACAACGAGCGGAGCGCTGGGTGGCTAAAGCACAGCAAGTTGGCACAGTGGAGGCACAGGTGGTGCATCAGCCACTCATCTCAGTCAGTCGACCCGTGGCACCTGGGTCTGCCCCGTGACCTCCTGCCAGCGGGCGTTCAACACTTCACGTGGCCCCAAGGGTGCACATGGCCTGGCACAAGCGTCGTGGTGACGTCACCGCCACTTAGCGGCGAATGGCGGTTGTTGTTGTTGTATGTCTAAGTCTGTTTATGTAGGTACGTGTGTGTGCCTATATGTACATGTGTGTGTCTACGTGCGTGTGTTTCTGTAAGTGTGTATGTGTCTACGTGTGTGTGTGTGTCTGCGCGTGTATGCGTGCATCACGTACACACGGACATGTGGACCGTTGAGGATTTGAGGGTGCCGGCCTCATTGCTCGCGGTGCAGAAGTAGTCCCCGGTATCCGACAGAGTCAAGGAGCTCAGCGTCTGGGCAATGGCGGAGGGGCGGAGGGGCAGGGGGGCGCAGACAATAACGTAAGGTTCACGACGGGTTCACGGCGGCCATGTTGGGTTCACGGCGGCCATGTTGGCTTCACAATGGCCGTGTCGGGTTCACGACGGCCGTGTCAGTGCCGAGTTCTGAACAAAAAGAAGCTCTTTCTACATTACCAGGAGTAAGCCCCACTAAGCTATGTAGCTCGTTTTCAGAAGCGGCTTGGCCATCACAAATGATAGCTCAAAGAATTGCACTTATCGTCATCACGTGGAAATGTATAGCAGCCAAATACTCGAAAAACGCGTGGTGACGTTGATTCTAAATGTGCCGGGAAAAACCGGAGCACGCGGAGAAAAATCCACGCAACCACGGGGAGAAACACCGCAAACTCCAAATATACAGCAGCAGGCGTCAAGATCAGGATCGAACCCACGACCTCCTGTAGACCAGGCGAGGTAGTTAACATCTCCTAGCCACCGTGGTGATGATGAGAGCGAGAGAGACACGCAAACTCCAAATATACAGCAGCAGGCGTCAGGGTTGGTATTGAACCCACGACCTCCTGCTTACCAGGCGAGGTAGTTAACATCTTCTAGTCACCGTGATGATGATGATGATGATGAACGAGAAACGCGCAGTGCCAGGAGACACTGGGGCCGGCACGGCCGAGAGCCTGGGTTCGAACCCCGGTTCCCAGCGAGAGCCTCTCTCCCCGTCTCTCCAATCATCGGGGGCTCACCAGCACGGACCCCGTGGGGTCGAGGCTGTAGGTGGTGTTGGCAAAGCGGGGGTCGTTGTTCGGCGTCTGGGGGAAGATGAGGTTGCCCCCCCGGGTCCAGGTGTAGGTGGGCGGGGGCTGGGCGTCCGGCTCGCTGCACACGAGGCGCACCGTGCCACCCAAGTTGCCCGACGACGGCACCTCCACACGCACCGCCTTGGCGGCACTGCCGACGAGCGGCAAGGGGGGGGCATGGGGGGGGGGAGAGAGAGACGTGGAGAGAGAGACGGGGAGAGAGAGACGGGGAGAGAGAGACGGGGAGAGAGAGACGGGGAGAGAGAGACGGGGAGAGAGAGACGGGGAGAGAGAGACGGGGAGAGAGAGACGGGGAGAGAGAGACGGGGAGAGAGAGACGGGGAGAGAGAGACGGGGAGAGAGAGACGGGGAGAGAGAGACGGGGAGAGAGACGGGGAGAGAGACGGGGAGAGAGACGGGGAGAGAGACGGGGAGAGAGACGGGAGAGAGAGACGGAGGGAGAGAGAGACGGGGAGAGAGAGACGGGGAGAGAGACGGGGAGAGAGACGGGGAGAGAGACGGGAGAGAGAGACGGGGAGAGAGAGACGGGGAGAGAGAGACGGGGAGAGAGACGGGGAGAGAGACGGGGAGAGAGACGGGGGAGAGAGACGGGGAGAGAGACACGGGGAGAGAGACGGGGAGAGAGACACGGGGACATGGGGAGAGATTAAAGTTGTGATGATGAGCGATCGGATTTGCAATCACCGACAACTCTCGTGTTTAACCAAAGTTAACCGAGCTCTGACCCGGACTCTAAAGCGTGACCCCTCTACGACACGCACTTGCACGCCACGAGACAAAGATCTCCAGCGTAACGGACTGTTGGGGGCAAGTGCTGTTAGCGAGCACCTACACACACACACACACTCAAGCAACCTTGCAAAGAGAAGAGGAAATGTGGAGTCATTTGCACTCAATCCGCCAGCTAAGCAAAAGGGAATATCACCCCGCCCCTCCCCCCATCTCCCCTCCCCCTGTCTCCCCCCCCCCGTCTCTCCCCCCCGCCCCCTCTCCCTGCTCCCCCAGCAGCCCTCTCACCTGGTATCACCAGATCCACGGAGACCTCCCGGAACTCGGTGCCCTCCGTGGCCTCGCAGCGGTAGAGCGCGTTGTCCGTGCGCACCGTCTTGCTGATGCTGATGTCGGCACCCGTGATGGTCGCCCGGTCCTTGAGGTCATCTGCGAGGTGGTGGGGGATGGTGGGGGTGGTGGGGGGGGTGGAGGGGGGGGGGTCACATTGGGGGGGGGGGGGGTGAACTTGATGCCCTGCAAAATTTTTCTATTTGGTGTTTGAAGATCTTAACAAAATTCCTGTTTTACTGCCAGAAAGGATTACAACAACACCTATAATTATTTTTGCAATACTTTGATACTGGATAAAACAAAAGTTCCCATATCGTAGCTGCTGCTCACCCCCCGAGCTAGAAATGCCCCGGCAGTGGCATTGTCCTTGTCCTGTTCGCCTTTTGGCGTTGTCCTCTGGTCTGACACCGGTGGTGAGACTAGGCCCTGAAGAAGGCTGCCGTCTCTGGTGTAGGCCAATCAGTTTCAGCCGTATTTGTTTGCATGTTCACCACACAAGCACCGTGCGTGGTTCATGCAGCAACTTGGTTCATTGCGAAAGATTTCCATTGGGCGTTTGAAACATCTGAACGCAACGCCTGCCGATTATGATTTTTGTTCCAAACATGCAGCTGGCATCGTCAGGCTCGACAGATCGAACCCACACGAGAGACCTCCTGTACATCGGGCGAGGTGGTAAACATTTCGCCACCGTGAATGAGACCGACCATCCCCATACCGCCCCCCCCCCCATCCCGGTCAGCGAGGACAGGGCATGGCGACGGATGGCCGCAAATGCTCGCGCGTTCGACATCGTCTCCGGCACTCACTGAGGAAGCCGTTCTTCCACACCAAGACGGTGCCGGTTGACTTCACTTTCTTCCAGACGATCTCGGGATTGCCAGTGTAGGAACACGACAGTACCGCCCCTGTGGAAAACATCAGCATCATCATCTGCAGTATCATCATCATCTGCAGCATCACCATCATCATCAGAATCACCATCATTATCACCATGATCAGCAGCATTTTCAGCATCATCATCAGAATCATCATCACCGCCACCATCAGCGGCAGCAGCAGAATCGTCATCAGCAGCATCGCCGTCAGCATCAGATTATTGTCAGGATCAATCAGAATCAGCATCATCATCAGCGCCATCATCAGCTCCATCATCAGTTCCATTACCAACTCCATCATCATCAGCGTCAACATCATTGTCAGCACTATCATCACCATCAGCACCATCATCACCATCGTCAGCGCCATCATCGGCATCATCATCGGCGCCATCATCGGCGCCATCATCATGACCAGCAGCATCAACCTCATAATCATTGTCGTCATCAGCAGCGGCAGCAGCAGCAGAATCATCATCAGTAGCACCATCAATGTCAGCATCGGTGTTCTCTTTATCAGATCGTAGTCAGGATCAATGACGGAACCAATCATCATCAGCAACATGGTCGTCATCATCATCAGTCGCGTCAGGATCATCATCAGCAACATCATTCCACCACATTAATCACCACTGCTCAGCTCCTACCACAAAATTATAGTCTACATCAATTTAACATCACCACATCAACACAATCGCTGCTGCGGGTGGATGTGAGTGGTGGAGCGGGGTGAGTGGTGAGAGATGGAGAGCGAGTAGTGGAGCGGAGTGAGTGATGGGTGGTGGAGAGTGAGTGGTAGAGCGGGGTGAGTGGTGAGAGATGGAGAGTGAGTAGTGGAGCGGAGTGAGTGATGGGTGGTCGAGAGTGAGTGGTGGAGCGGGGTGAGTGGTGAGAGATGGAGCGTGAGTAGTGGAGCGGGGTGAGTGGTGAGAGATGGATAGTGAGTAGTGGAGCGGGGTGAGTGATGGGTGGTGGAGAGTGAGTGGTGGAGCGGGGTGAGTGGTGAGAGATGGAGAGTGAGTGGTGAAGCGGGGTGAGTGGTGAGAGATGGAGCGTGAGTGGTGGAGAGGGGTGAGTGATGGGTGCTGGAGAGTGAGTGATGGAGCGGGATAAGAGATGGAGAGTGAGTGGTGGAGCGGGGTGAGTGGTGAGAGATGGAGAGTGAGTGGTGGAGCGGTACGAATGATGGGTGGTGGAAAATGAGTGGTGGAGCGGGGTGAGTGGTGAGAGATGGAGCGTGAGTGGTGGAGAGGGGTGAGTGATGGGTGCTGGAGAGTGAGTGATGGAGCGGGATAAGAGATGGAGAGTGAGTGGTGGAGCGGGGTGAGTGGTGAGAGATGGAGAGTGAGTGGTGGAGCGGTACGAATGATGGGTGGTGGAAAATGAGTGGTGGAGCGGGGTGAGTGGTGAGAGATGAAGAGTGAGTGGTGGAGCGGGGTGAGTGGTGAGAGATGGAGAGTGAGTGGTGGAGCGGGGTGAGTGATGGGTGCTGGAGTCGAGCGAGTGGTGCAGCAGGGTGAGTGATGGGTGCTGGAGTCGAGTGAGTGGTGCAGCAGGGTGAGTGATGGGTGCTGGAGTCGAGCGAGTGGTGGAGCAGGGTGAGTGATGGGTGCTGGAGTCGAGTGAGTGGTGGAGCGGGGTGAGTGATGGGTGCTGGAGTCGAGTGAGTGGTGGAGCAGGGTGAGTGATGGGTGCTGGAGTCGAGTGAGTGGTGGAGCAGGGTGAGTGATGGGTGCTGGAGTCGAGCGAGTGGTGGAGCAGGGTGAGTGATGGGTGCTGGAGTCGAGTGAGTGGTGGAGCAGGGTGAGTGATGGGTGCTGGAGTCGAGTGAGTGGTGGAGCAGGGTGAGTGATGGGTGCTGGAGTCGAGTGAGTGGTGGAGCAGGGTGAGTGATGGGTGCTGGAGTCGAGCGAGTGGTGCAGCAGGGTGAGTGATGGGTGCTGGAGTCGAGCGAGTGGTGCAGCAGGGTGAGTGATGGGTGCTGGAGTCGAGTGAGTAGTGGAGCAGGGTGAGTGATGGGTGCTGGAGTCGAGCGAGTGGTGCAGCAGGGTGAGTGATGGGTGCTGGAGTCGAGTGAGTGGTGGAGCAGGGTGAGTGATGGGTGCTGGAGTCGAGCGAGTGGTGGAGCGGGGTGAGTGATGTGTGCTGGAGTCGAGCGAGTGCTCAGAGAGAGTTTTACCGCTGCCTTCTTGCGCCTTGACCTTCGAGTTGCTTGTGGTCAGCGTGAGCGAAGAGACGAATCCAGCTGAGAGACGGAAAACCACACGGGATCAGCAACTCACCCGCTCAACAAAAAGACAAAGATACCGCTCCCCCCCCCCCCCCGTGTAGCCTTAACAAGACTGTTGACGCAAGCGCTGTCGGCGAGTAGTAGCCAACAGCACGAGGGGGTGGAGGGCGAACAACACCACTCCCGGCCGCCTTTGTCTCCCCGGTGGCCATGACGCGCCAGGCAAGCCATCCGAGGCCGAGTCCACCTCGGGGACCTGCTTCTGAAACCCGTCAATGATGGCCGCGGGCGGGGAATCAACTCGGTCAGCCGCCCGCCCGCCCGCCCGCTTCTGCGAGTCAATCGACCGCTCGACCCCCGACTCCCCCACACAGGCAGAGGCGGCACGGACTTCAATTTCACATTCAGCTGGCCTAGCCCAGATATAACTGCGTCCGGGAGCAGAGGGAGCAGCTGCCGCCGCCGTGACGCGGACAACGTTTAACGCATCACGCCGGGAACTCGTTTGAGGCCGGGTCGACCGGCCCAGAAGTGGTGAGCGAGCGACAAAAGAGAAAGATCCCCCCGCCCCCCCCCCGTGTAGCCTGTAACAGACTGTTGGGGCAAGTGCTGTTAAGAGAGTCGCACCTAAATTTTGATTTAAAGCTTTCGTGACTGCAGTAATTCATATTCTTAGTTTTTTCGGTAAAGTCACGTTGAAGAGAAACAACAAAATAACAAAATATATATAAAACAATAAAAAATTCTCACGACGTTTCGACCATAACTCAAACGGTCATCATCAGGTGTGATCATCAGGTGTGATGATGACCGTTTGAGTTATGGTCGAAACGTCGTGAGAATTTTTTATTGTTTTATATATATTTTGTTATTTTGTTGTTTCTCTTCAACGTGACTTTACCGAAAAAACTAAGAATAAGAGTCGCACCTATGAAGGCCGGAACGGTACACAAGCGGGTGGGGGTTGGCCAGCATGATGCCCGGCCGCCTTCGTCTCCCCAGTGACGATGTTTACTATACACCGCTACACCAGGTTCTGATTTGAGGGCGAGTCGACCTAGGGGGAGGCCCAGGACCCTGTTCAGATGATCGTCACCGGTGTTGGCCGTGAGCGGGAATCAAACTCAAGTGGCCGGGTTTGTTGAGCAGCGTAGCGTCAACGGCTACGCCACCGCTCCCCTCACGAAGCTGTGTGTGTGTGTGAGCGATAGCACACTCACGCACTCACATACACCAACACACCACAGAGCGCCGTTTTTACTGCCAACCCACTGCTCAAGGAAGCCCGACCCCGATACGGTCACCGTGACTCAGCCTCGCAAACAACACGGGTGTGGGTGATCACGTGACTCATAATGGCCGTGTCGAGGACACTGACCCAGCACCACTGAGATCCCAGGTGACAAGCCCTGGGTCAGGGTGTGGGGTTGTCTCTATCTCTCTCAGAAGGTTCACGCTGGCTGTGCCAGAGACACCACTGAGATCCTAGGTTCAAGTCCTGGGTGTGCATGCATGTGCGACTCTGTCTCTCAGAAGGTTCATCATAATGGCTGTGTGAGAGACACTGAGCCAGTACAGATAAGATTATGGGTTCAAATCCTGGGTCTGGGTTTCTCTCTGATAGGGTTCATAATCTTCTTTGGTTCTTTCAGTAAAGTCACGTAGAATGAGAATAAAATAATAAATTAATAAAGTTAAATAACAATAAAATTCTCACGACGTTTCGGCCACAACACAAGTGGCCTTCTTCAGGTGAAAGGAACAGACCTGTCGGGACGACAGAGCTTCAATGAACGTTGTTAAGATTCGTAGCGTCTTTTTAAGTTGGTCTAATGTCGTCCCGACAGGTCTGTTCCTTTCACCTGAAGAAGGCCACTTGTGTTGTGGCCGAAACGTCGTGAGAATTTAATTGTGTTATTTTATTCTATTAATTTATTACTTTATTCTCATTCGACGTGACTTTACCGAAAGAACCAAAGAAGATGAAATCCTTGCAGTCACGAAAGCTTTAAATCGGGGTTCATAATGTCAAGGATAGGGTCCCAGTAACACTTGGGAAACTGCGTTCAAGCCCTAGGTCTGGGCGTCTTTGGCGTGCGTAATAAAGTCGAACTGAAACTTTATTTATTTTACGAAGGTACGAACCACAGCTATTTTTCGGAAGTGACATGGGCCATCACAAATGACGGCTCGACGAGGTGACAGACTGCACGCTTCACTCCCACCAGCACGCGCGAGCTGACAACCACAACCTCGCTTGAAGTGAACTCACTGCCCAACTGCTGGGTGGACCAGAGGCGGTGATGGTTGTGGCGGTAGTGGTGGCGGTGGTTGTGGCTGGTCTGAGAAACACATCATTTCACCGTCACCACCACCACCAATACCAATACCTGCCATTCGCCACAAAGTGACGGTGAAGTCGCCTACGACGCCTGTGCCAGGCTAGGTGCACTTTTAGGCCGCGTGAAGCGTCGAAGGCTCGCCGACAGGAGGCTTTAGCACAGACCCAGCAAGGTGCCATGGGTTTGCCGACTGAGATGACTGGTAGATACACCAGCTGCACCCCCCCCTCCTATGCCAACCGTCACCACCACCACTACCACCACCACCACTGTCACCACCACCGTCACCCACTGTCACCACCACCACCGTCATCGTCGTCACCATCACCACCACCGTCACCCACTGTCACCACCACCACCGTCATCGTCGTCACCATCACCACCACCGTCATCGTCACCATCACCACCACCGTCATCGTCGTCGTCACCATCACCACCACCGTCTCCCACTGTCACCACCACCACCACCACCGTCATCGTCGTCACCATCACCACCACCGTCATCGTCGTCACCATCACCACCACCGTCACCGCTACTGCTACCACCGTCACCGCTACTGCTACCACCGTGGCAACGTCCCCCGTGTTGTTAATCCGGGGGGAAGGAGTGGGAAACATTGCCGGCAAAAACATTTATTTTTCACTTGCCAAAACTCAAAATCCCATAATGCTATTAACGAAGCCGGGATTAATATTGGTGAGGGGCATGACCCAGAAACCATGGCCAGAGGTAGCAGCCAGCCAGCCCTGATCATTATCACGTCTAAAATGACAACGGCACCGTCGCATTACATTAAACCCCCCGGACGCGTCGGCCCAGCCGGGCACTCGGCACCCACAGCAACCTGGGTTCGACTCCCCGTGCTCTGTGGCCAAGGTCCTCGCCCGCCCTGTCAAAGCTGGTGCTGCTGAGCGAGCGCTTGTATAAGGGTGTATACGCGCTCAGTTGGCGAGTGAGTGGGTGAAGTGAGCGTGTGAGCAGAGTGGGTTAGTGGGTTGTTGTTGTTGTTGTGAATTGCAGTGTGGTGGTGGTGGTGGTTGCAATGACACAGTAGGATTATTTTGGCTGCTACTATAAATTTCCACACGATAAGCAACTCTGTTGAGCTGCCATCATTTGTGATGGCCTGGTCGCTTCTGACAAATAAGTTAACACCTAAGTGGACTTTACCTGGTCGGATAAAAAGATAAGTTTTATTTGTATATAACTATTGCTTGAAGCGATTTGGTTACCTTTCTTACACTTTACACTCCGATCGTGTTTTTGTAGCTGTGTGTTGTTGTAACGTTCTTACCCCGTGTCCTGTACTGGACATCCGTGAATAAAGTGCTATATAGCTCATCAGATTCCTCCTGCGGTATAAATAAATATTCTTAATCTGATCCGTCTGGAACAGACCAAGTCCTCAACACGGGTGGAGGAGGAATCAACGGAGTGAAGTTCACGGGAAAAGTAACCACGCCAATAGTAGAAGTAGTCGCGAAAGAAGAGTGGTAAGGAGACGACTGACTGCGAGTGAACGAGGTGCTTCATTCTGAAATCTAGGAGTGAATGAGTGGATGGGTGAATGAGTGGGTGGATGGGTGAATGAGTGGGGAAGTGGTTAGGTGAATGGGTGAATGAGTGGGTGGGTGAGTGGTTGGGTGAGTGAGTGTGTGGATGAGTGAATGCGTGGGTGGGTAAGTGTTTAGGTGGATGGGTAAATGGGTAGGTGGATGGGTGAATGAGTGGGTGGGTAGCTGAGTGGGTACGTGGATGGGTAAATGAGTGGGTGGGTGGTTGAGTGGGTAGGTGGATGTGTGAATGAATGGGTGGATGGGTGAATGAGTGGCTGGGTGGTTGATTGGGTAGGTGGATGTGTGAGTGGGTGGGTGAATGAGTGGGTGGATTGGTGAGTGGGTAGGTGGATGTGTGAATGAGTCACTGGATGAGTTGGTGAGTAAATCTGTGAGAATGTGATGTCTCTAACCCACGTGTGCTCTAATCCACATGCTCCTATCTTTCAGTGTCGATCCACTGCTGGATGACGATCAATGTGATGATGACGTCTCTAACCTGCGTGTATTCTCCTATCACAACGTGTTCCTCTTCCCACTCAGGAGTAACTAGAAATGTGCGTGCCACCTCCCCCGCCTTCTCCTTCTCAGTTTTCATTCCGCATTTTTCGCAAGCGGTCGCGTTTTTATGAAGCGGGCGGCCAAGCGGCACTCGCAACGGCGTTGACATCTCGGCCTACAAGACGGCAAAATATGAGGGCCGGTGATGGTGTGGGCTGATGGCCCCTGGGGTTGAGAGGGCCGGTGGTGGTTGGGGCTGACAGCCCCTGAAGTTGAGAGGGCCAGTGGTGGTTGGGGCTGACGGCCCTTGGGGTTGAGAGGGCCAGTGGTGGTTGGGGCTGACGGCCCCTGGGGTTGAGAGGGCCAGTGGTGGTTGGGGCTGACGGCCCCTGGAGTTGAGAGGGCCAGTGGTGGTTGGGGCTGATGGCCCCTGGGGTTGAGAGGGTCGGTGGTGGAAGGGGGCTGACGGCCCCTGGGGTTGAGAGGGCCAGTGGTGGTGGGGGCTGACGGCCCCTGGAGTTGAGAGGGCCGGTGGTGGTTGGGGCTGACGGCCCCTGGGGTTGAGGACCGGTGGTGGGGGACTGATGGCCCCGTCTGCCGCACAGGGCGACCAAC